AAATGTTTGTAGAGTTTCTGGCAACTAGTAGCAGTAATTCCACCATTTAGCAAGTGTTTCCCATGGTGCAGGGTATGTTCTGCTCACCATGCTAAGGACTCATTGCATTTAATTCTCACAATAATGCCACAAGGATGATGTTATTACCCCCATACTACAGCAAAGAAAGTGAAGGATCACAGAGGCTCATCATTTCCCATTGCTGTGTGACTGTTAAGTGGTGAGCTGAGATTTGATGAAATTCTGCTGTCTTCAGAGCCTAAACTCTGCCCTCATATAGCAAGTGTTCAGTAAAGACTGTAGTGCTTGTGATGATGATGAAGGTGATGATGATGATGATGGATGGTACCCGAATAAAGTTCAATTCTCTCAGCATGGTATTCAGCACCCTTCATGGTATGGCTTTGACTGGACGCACTGCCTGTCTTACCCACATGGTCTATCCTAGCCCAGCTGAACTACTCAAAGTCCCCAAATGAACATCTTCACTTGTGCCTCTCTCTGTGGATGAGCTTCTTCTCTTTCCTCCCTCCTCCACCTGATCTGGCATGGGCATGTCTTTTCTTTACAGTCTGGCTCCAGTGTCCTCAACTCTCTGTGGCTTTCCCTCTCCTCTGTCCCAAGGCCCAGTGGGCAAACCTCTGTTCTAGGCATCAGAGTGTGGTCTTACTGTCTTCTACACTCCTCTCCCTAGCCACCCTCAACTCAGACTGTGAGTTCCTGTGACATCCATGTCTGAATCCCCAGTGGCATCTAGAAGGTGCTGAGTAAAATTACTCACAAGTGCACATGGATCACACTGGCTGCTCGAACACAGTGTGAGCTCCACCTCTGCTAACCAGAATCTGGCTTCCCACCCTCCGAGTTACGGTTGTCCTGAGCACAAGTAAATACCCCTCTGCTAGGGACTGAATAAAGGCCACAATCCTGATGAAAGCAGAGCGATGCTGGGGACCAGAGAGCCCTCATAGGACCATTCCTACAGCAAGACCCTTGTGGCTGCTGGGCGTACTAGAAAGGGAAAATGTCTTCTTTCCAATTAGTTGTTTCATTCTGAGGCCAATTCAGCTCCCAGAGAACTGAGCTGGACTCTGTTTCTGCCTCATGCTTAGGACAGCAACATTCACAGCTCAATTCCCACAGTCCAGTTTTAATACTGGGGATGACACAGCTGGGTTATCTTTCCAAGAGCAGCATGTGGTGCTAGTGTTTTGGAGGCGGCGGAGGGGGGGGAAGACAACTTTTGGTTGTAAGTAAAACAAATTTCATGTGGCCATAATTATAAATAAATCAGACCACCCATATATATAATTATTTAAGTTGTCCCTCCTGAAATGACATCTGTACCATGGAAAGCCATCAATTTCTCGAGCATCCATCAGATAGGAAGGTGGCTAAGAGTGTAATGCTGGGATCCATCAGGCCAACCTACAGGGAGATGAGGGGAACTCATATTCCATCTTCTTAGTAACACTGCCATCTACTGAACCTTCCTGCACCAAAGACGCGGTCCTGCAGTCCTTTTCATTCCAGCATTTTCCTGCATGGTCTCATTTCTCATTTGATTTACTATTCTATTGATTGTTATGAGGTTTCCCACCCCCTATTTCAGAAACTAATTACTGTAATTATTGAACTTTTAATAGCTGCTGATTGGGCATCTGCAGAAAATATTTGAGAAAATGCACCACTACATTTCATTTGCATTTTGAGAGACAGCGAGGGAGAATTAGACCTTTCCTAAATTACTTATTGTGACCTGAATAGAGAAAAAGAATCCTACCAGATGGAATTCTCATTTGCATATTTAATGTGTCCGATTACCATCACAGAGGAGTGGAGTTCCACTCCATACACTAATGTGACAAGGAACAGAGTTTATCTGAAACTCAGGTTCAGCCACACAGTTTCCATGCACTAGCAGCCAAGAGAGAGGCCACTCTCAGCTCTGCATCACTTCACTGGCCATCACTGCAGTGGAGTTTGGCATGACACATCCATCGGCAACCATCTGGCTGCTAAGGCCTCCTAAACCACTGGCTTGGTTGTTCTCATTCCAGCTACACTGCATGGCTGGAAATATAGCTAAGGAAGCCAGACATCCTTACAACGAGGCTATTGCACCTGGAAAAATGTACAATGCCAAGAATTCTTGACCTTACATTATGCAAAAGCTGCAAAGATGAGAGACCTATTCACCAAACACACCTTGATCTGGGGCCTGGGAATGAGTTCCAGACCTCCCCTCACCAGCTCCATGACCATAGGAAGTTACACAACTTTCTTGAGCCTCAAGCCCCTGTGATATGGGGAGATTCTAGTGTGCTGGGATGAGCTGTTATGAATACTAATGAAACAACATGCTTGGCACACAGGTAGTCCTAAGTGTGGATTAGTGTCCAAAATGCTCCAGCTGGGCCCTGTCTTGAATACCAAGGTAAAGAAAGTAAAGTCCCAGACTTGAGACAACTCATGACTAGAAGACATGTAAAGAACTAGAAGACACTTTATTTCAGGGTCAAATATTTTTATCTACCAGTTGATGCTTAAGGCAAGTAAGTGCTGGTCTTAAAAGATGACCCCCAACAATTCCCTCTGTCCTCTACACGTATGTAACCCCTCACATCAGTAGAGGAGGCATATGGCCCTTCCCACTGAGTCTAAGCTGAACCTGTGACTCACTTTGACCAACAGACCAATGCTGTGGAAGCCAGGCCAGCTTGTTCAAGGCCTAAGCCTTTGGAGGGCCTGGCAGCTTACCCAAGGGAGCACTGAGCTACTGTGTGACCTGATGGAGAATTCACTTGCAGAGACACAGATAGAGGCCCAGATGGAGAGGGTTACAGGGAGGAGAACCCAGAATCCTATTATGACAGCTCAAACCAAGGCCCCAGACATCTGACCCAGCCCAGGAGCTCCCTGTCATTGGAGCCAGCCCTGGAGGTGCCAGCTGTGTGAGTAAAGAAGACATCTTAAATGGTCTAGGCCACCCAACACCATGTGGTGCAGAGATGAGCTGTCCCTGCCTCACCTGTCTCTCGCTGTGAGAAAGAATGACATAGTTTGTTAACTGCGCAGCAGTTTGTTACACAGCAACAGGTAACTAAAGAAGTGATCAAGCCCATTTTATTCCAACCTACTGCTTTTCTGTAAATGTTGAAAAATATAAGTGCATTCCATTTCACTATGAGATGTGTGTCCCTATTCATTGGTTTGATCATTACTTCATTGTCACTTTCCAGCAAAGGAACAGGAACCAGAAAAAAGATTCCAGTTACAAAGGGACATAGAGACATGGAAATAGGTCCATCCTTTTTTGCAACCCTGTATGAAATACTACAGAATTTCCTTGGTGAAAACAGTTCCCTTCCTTACACATCAAGGCTTTTGCTCCCCCGCTCCACTTCTCTCATTGATTTCAGCGGGCTTGCAACATTTTACTAGGTCACTGTCATTTTCGGGCTGTGATTAATAACACCACTAGTGTTCATTTCTTCCTAGAACATATCACTTCCTTTTTAAATCCTGGACAAAGCACAGCTGGACCTGCAACCCCTGCCCCTCATTCTTCCTATAGAAGCCTCTGCTGTGCAGGGGAAAGACCAGGAGACCTGCCACCAGGTAGGACCACGTTTAATACCAGGTCCACCAACTGGGAATCCTTAAGTCATGTAAATTATCTGAGCCTCTGTTTCCCCACTGGTGAAAATGGAGACAAATAATACTCCTGAGAAAACTGCTATGAGGATAAACCGTGAAAGCGTCCAGCTCCACGCCTGGTTGCTCAGTTCAATTCATTTCCTTTCAACTGCACTCATCAGAGCGTGCATTCTCCAGGTTTTCCTCAACAAGAATTGCCTTGTTCTGTTACTCAATCCTTTCACCCTGCAATGGAGCCCCTCGTTCTGCCAGGACAGGAACTTGGGGGTTGTCTTTGAGTCTCCCTCTTCCCACTCCCTGGACCCGTTCATCTCTGGGTCCTGCGATCGTCTCTCCTCTCCTTCACACTTGCCCAGACACCACCCTAGCTGAGCTACCATCAATGTGGTACTACAGACAGGGCTTCCTACCTGCTGTCCCCATTCCCAGGCCATTCCCCATGCAACAAACAGATATCTTGATACAAAAACCTGGTAGAGTCATCCTCTACCCATCTGAGAGGCTTCTTACTGCCCTTGTGATAAAACTCCGTACTTAAGCAGGGCTCCAGCCTTCCTGTGCCTGCCCCATCTGGCACATTTCCCACTCCCCCACTTTGCTCCCACCCTAGCCGCCTGCAGCAGGCTCCTTCCTGCCTGGTTAATTGCTACTCATCTTTCAGGGCCCTGCTTAAATGTCACCATCTAGGAGATGGCTTCCCTGACCTCCACCCCTTCCTCTAAATTAGATTTAATCAGGTCTTCCCCCACCTCCATTCCATTATTCTTTCTCAGCATCCTATTTTTCCCCATTATTATCACTTGTCCCAATTTGTAATTGTATATTCACTGATGAGCTTATTTATTTAGTCTGTCTGCACTGGCACCATCTCTTGGTCCCCATGATGGACACAGGATCCATGGGTGGGCAGTGTCCATCTTGTTAACTTGGCATGTCCTCTACAGAGCACTGAGCCATGATCACAGCCAGCACCTGCAGGATGGATGACTAGCTGGAGGGCAAAGGACTTCTGGCCCCACCAATGCCCAGCGCTGCCCTTAGAACCCAGGGATTGCCTCATGACAGTTGAATCATTTCAGCTAGTTTTTGTTTGGCTGTTGCTTTTAGAAGGTCACTTCACCAGCAGAAATGACCTGTTTCAAATGACCTTGGAAGGAAGGGTGGCAGAACTCAATCAAGGGTCACAGACATACTGAGTCTCCCCTGCAGAAGGTGCTTCACAAGGGTGGCCCTGCTGATGCAGAGTACTGAGGGCAAAGGCAAAAAAGAAGTCTGGCCAGAAGGAGCTTAAATGATTAGTCATGTGAAAAAGACAAATACATGTGTTCATCAACAAGTACCTGGGGGTGGTCTGCATGGTACAACCGAGGCAGCAGTCTCACCATGATGCACAGGGCCCCGGGGTGCATGATCACAGCATCCCCTTCATCCACCCTGCAGAGAGAGGGGAGGTGGGATATCAGATTTGAGTTTTCTAGTCTCTTCTGCTTTTCACAAACCTTTCTGAATCTTTCTCAGACAAGCCATAATACACATCCTCAGTCTACCACTTATTATCTATATAACTGAACTAATTAATCTAAGCCCAATTTTCCCAACTGTACAGTGGAACTCACAATACCATACTTCTCTCAGAGAGACACAGAATAATGCTTTTGGGCCCCAGGACACAGTGGCTGGCTCCACAGTTGATACTCAACGCAAGTCAGTTGCCTGGTCCTCTCCCTTTCCCTCCAGACATAAAGGAGAGGGAGAGGCTCTCATTTTATGTTAAACACATACACACAAGTGTTTCTTGATCCCTTCAAGATGGTATAAGCAGACTCTACTCAGCCGTACCCACTGAATGCAACTCAAAACCCACATAGAACACATAAGCAGCTCTCTGATGACTCTGGAAAGTAAATGGTAGCACAGAAGGAAACCAAACCCAAAGCACCATGCAACTGGCATTGAATTTCCTGGAGTGTCCCCCTCCAGAATTCCTTAGCATGGGCTCAGAGGGCATCTGAAAACAGAAATGTGCATCACATGCAGATGAGGACAGAGCACCAAGAAAACGTATCTGTTTCTGGCCTGAGGAACAGGAAGGAGGCTCCTAGAGGTCACAGAGCATGGAGGAGAACCCTTGAGATTTTCGTTTTGGGTTCCTTCACTCTTTCTCAGCCAGCCTCCAGGCAACCTCACAGCAGCAGTGGCCAGGCAGGTGTCTGAATAGCTGGGAGAAGATAATCCTTCTCTCTAACCAGAAGAACTATGGTCCAGGAGTGTAGGCAAAAATCTCCATTGCCCTTGTCTCTCTTTTTCCTTTCCCTGCTTGGCACCAGAAACAGATGCAGCAGTAGGAAGTACATGGCAAAGCAGGGAAACTAAAGCCTCAGCTTCCTAGACAGAAGAGAAGGAAGAGGCCCCTGGGAGCCATAAAGTGTTGGGGAGACAATGAAGAAGAGGAGGCTTAATGAAGTCAGACTATGTATCAACCTCCGGGCTCAATTCTGAGCTGCATGTGTGGATCTGACCCTGAACCATATTCCAAAGGCTTTGAGAACTGAACTCAAGGGTAAAGCACCACCCAAGACTGGCTACTTCATGGGCAAATAGAGAATAGATAAAATCTCACTGCCAAGTCTGTGAAACCAAACTGATACTGGAAACATGGTCCACAGAAGGTGGGCAAGAACTTGCAGACTGAACCTAACCTGGTCGATTGCCTGGTAAAACAAAATAATTAACATTCTCCAGATGTCAACAAGAGCCAGAGTTCATAACATTCAAAATGTCCAGGACACAATCTGCAATTACTTAGCATAGAACAAATCAGGGAAATCTCAATATCTCACACAGAAAAAGATAATCAACAGATGCCAAGCCTGAGATGACGCAGATGTTGGAACTATCAGACAAAAACTGTATTTTTTTAATCAGACAAAAACTTTAAATCAGCTGTTTAACCACACTCTAAGGAATGAGGGTGAGTATTATTGAAATGAATGAAAACCTAGGAAGTCGCAGTAAAGAAATGGGAGCAATAAAAAAGAACCAAATGGAAATTTAAGAACTGAAGATACAATAACAAATTTAAAAATCTCACTGAATGAGAACAATAAAAGAATGAGCTGAGACAGAGTCCATAAATTTAAGGACAGAATCTGAACAACAAAAAGGAAAAAGATTTTTTAAAATGTAAGAAATCCTCAAGCTCATGTGTAACAATACTGAAAGATCTAACATCCCATTGTAGGAGTTCCAGAAGAAGAGGAGAAAGAGGCAGTGTAAAAAAAAAAAAAAAAAATGTTCAGGAAGGTTTTAGCCATTATTTCTTTAAATTTGGTGTATATAGAACCTTAAAGATTCAAGAAGCTTAGCAAAGAAAGGAAGAAAGAAAGACCTATATAAAAGGAAAAACATACAATACTTGTGGGTTGGAAGCTGTAATATAGTTGTCTCAATTCTCCCCAAATTCATCTATAGATTTAACCCAATTCTAATCAAGATCCCAACAGTTTTTGTAGATGTAGGCAAGCTGATCATTATATTTACATATACTAGAACAACCAGAGGCAAAGGAACTAAAATAAGCAAAGCAATTTTAGAAAGAGAGAATACATTTGGAGGACTCACATTTGCTGGTTTTATGACTTATTACAAAGCTACAGTGATCAAAACAGTATTAGTGAAGGGCTAGACACACAGATCAATGGAACAGAATAGAGTCCAGGAAAAGACCTACACAAATATGGCCAATTGATTTTTCACAAAAGTACAAAGATAATTCAATGGAAAAGGATAGTATTTTCAACAAATGGCATAGGAGAAATTAGATATCCAAATGCAAAAAAATATATCTTGACTTAAACTTCACACCTTGCAGTAAAAGAAATTCAAAATGGGGCGCCTGGGTGGCTCAGTTGGTTAAGCGACTGCCTTCGGCTCGGGTCATGATCCTGGAGTCCCGGGATCGAGTCCCATGTCGGGCTCCCTGCTCAGTAGGGAGTCTGTTTCTCCCTCTGACCCTCTTCCCTCTCGTGCTCTCTCTCTCTCATTCTCTCTCTCTCTCTCAAATAAATAAATAAAATCTTAAAAAAAAAAAAGAAATTCAAAATGGATCACAGACCTATACAACTTTTAAAAGAAAACACAGGAGAAAATCTTGGTGACCCTGAGCTAAAGCCCAATGAAAGAAAACATTAATAAATTGTACTGCAGCAAAATTAAAGATTTTCATTCTGTGAAAGTCACTTTAAAGATGGAAAGACAGGGGCACCTGGGTGGCTCAGTCGTTGAGCCTCTGCCTTCAGCTCAGGTCATGGTCCCAGGGTCCTGGGATCGAGCCCCACATCGGGCTCCCTGCTCAGCAGAAGCCTGCTTCTCCCTCCCCCACTCTCCCTGCTTGTGTTCCCTATCTCACTGTGTCTCTCTCTGTTAAATAAATAAATAAAATCTTAAAAAAAAAAAAAATGGAAAGACAAGCTACAGATGGAGAAAATCCTGGCATCCACACAATGGAGTACTACTCAGCAATAAAAATGCATGAACAACTCACACAAAAAACTGGATGGATCTCAAAGGCCTTATGCTGAATGGAAAAGGCTAGCCTCAAAATATTTCACATTGTGTATCTGCATTTATATGGTATTCTGGAAAAGACAAAATTATAAGGACACATCAGTGGTTGCCAGGGGCTAGGGGTCGAGAAAGAATTTGACTATCAAGGGGCAACATTCAGGAACTATTTGAGGTGATGGGACTATTCCGCGTCCTGATGGTTCGAAATTAAATGAATGAAAACCCATAGAACTTTACAGCAAAAAAAGGGACTTATACTGTGTATAAATTCAAAAGTTAATAATAAAAATAAAAACAAACACACAAAAAACCCATAAATCTAGGGGCGCCTAGATGTCTCAGTTGTTAAGCATCTGCCTTCGGCTCAGGTCATATCCTAGGGTCCTGGGATCGAGCCCCGCTTTGGGCTCCCTGCTTAGCGGGAAGCCTGCTTCTCCCTCTCCCACTCCCCCTGCTTGTGTTCCCTCTCTTGCTGTCTCTCTCTCTCTCTCTCTCTGTCAAATAAATAAATAAAATATTAAAAAAAAGGCTTAAAACCCATAAATCTAATCCCAATTATAAACACCTGATTTTCAAACATCATGCCCATAGTGCTATTTTTATAACCCACTGTCCTTGGCACCACCAGCCTTAAAAGGATGGCTAAGGTGCCAGGAGTGAACACATTGGAGTTAATTTATTCAATTCAACTGAACAAATATTTATTGACCTAACTATTTGCCAGGCACTTTGGATACAGCTATAAATTAAACAAACTGAAGCCCATACCCAGGATGTGAGAGGGGGAGTGTAGATAATAAAGATAAACATAATAAATATGTAAATTATAAATAACAAAAGTTATTGTGTAAGGCATACTACATTATTATAATATAGTATAACGTATTAATATAATATTACCATGAATAAGTAAATTACATATTATGTAAGTGCCATTGCAAGAAAAAATTCGAGCAGAGAAAGAATGAAGAGTGCTAGGGTGGAGGAAGGAAGCAATCTGCAATTTTAATTTGGGTGGCAGAGCTGGCCTCCTTGAGAAGGTGACAATTGGGCAGACTTGAAAGAGGGAGGCAGATATCTGAGGGAAAAGCATTTCAAGCAAAGGGAACAGCCAATGCAAAAGGCCCTAAGGTGGGAGTATGTCCAGCATGTTCAGGAAACAGCAAGGAAGCCTGTATTACTACCTTGATACCAAAGCTACACAAAGAAAAAAAAAAAAAAAGAAAACTACGGATAATATCCCTAATGAATATACATGCAAAAATCCTCAACAACATACTAGCAAACCAAATCTAAGAGCATATTTAAAGAATTATACACTATAATCAAGTGGGGTTTATCCCAAGAATACAAGGGTATGAGTGATTCAACATAAGAAAATTCGTCAAGGAAATACACTATATTAGAAGACAAAGGGAAAAAAACAAAGCATTGTCTCAATTGATGCAGAAAAAGTATTTGACAATATCCAACACCCTTTCATGATAAAAATACTTGGAAAACTAGGAATCGATAGGAACTTTGTCAACATGATAGAAGGCATTTATAAAAAGACCACAGCTAACATACGCAATGATAAAAGCTGGTCCTGAAATTCATATGGAATTGCAAGGAACTCTAAATAGCCAAAACAATATTTAAAATGAAGAACAAAGTTGGACTACTCCCACTTCGTGAGTTCAAAACTTAACTACAATGCTACAGTAATCAAAACAGTGTCGTACTGGCTTGAGGACAGACACATAGTCCAGTGGACTAGAATTGAGAGTCCTCCACAAGGATCATTCAGTGGGGAAAGAATAGAAACATCAGTACATGGTGCTGAGAGAAGTGCATAGCCACATGCAAAAGAATGAAGTTGAACCCTG